GAAACTGCCAACACTTGCTATGGTCATCTTTTTAATTTTAGCCACTCTAAGAGGTGTGTGGTTCTATCTCATTGTGGATTTAATTTGCATTTCTCTAATGATGAATGGTGGTGAGCATCTTTTCATGTGCTCTTTTGCCATCCATATATCTTCTTTGGTGAAATATCTGTTCAAATCAAATATCTGGTAGAAAATATTTGCAAACCACCTACCTGACAAAGTCTTTGTATCTAAATATATAAAGGACACTCAAAGCTCAACAGTAAAAAAATAAACAATTAGAAAATGGGCAAAGAACATGAATAGATATGTCACAGAAAAGGACATACAGATGCCGAATAAGCACGTGAAAAACCATAGGGAAATGCAATGAGATGTCGCTGCACACCTGTCAGAATGGCTAAACTGAAAAATAACGATACCACCAAATGCTGGCTAGGATGCAGAAAAACTGGATCACTCATGCATTCCTGTTGAGAATGTAAAATGGCGCAGACACCCTGGCAAAGAGTGTGGCAGTTCCTTATAATAGTAAACACGTGTTTATCATGGGGTTTGGCAGCTGCCCTCTTGGGCATTTATACTAGAGAAACAAAACTGTACACAAATGTTCGTGAGAGCAAAAAACTAGGAAGAACCCTAATACCCTCCAGTGTTTGAATGGTGACACAAACCTTGGCACATCGATGCAACAGAACTCCACTCGGTGGTAAGAAGGAATGAACTGCTGATACAGGCAACAGCTTGGGTGGCTCTCAAGGGCATTGTACAAAGTGAAAAAAGTCAATCTCACAAGAATACATGCTGTATGATTCCATTTATATAACATTCTTCAAATAATAAAATTATAGAAAGAACAGATTAGTGGTTGCAGGGGTCAGGGGGTGGGAGAGCAGAGGTGTCTGTGGCTATGGAAGTGCAGCAGAGGGGATCCTTGTGATGGAACTCTTCTATGTCTTGACTGTGGTCGTGTCACATGAATCTCTACGTGTGATAAATCTGCATATGATTAAATCCACACGAGTGCAAGTAAGACTGATGAAATCTGAACAAGGTTAGTGGACTGTAGCCATGTCCGTTTCCTGGTTGTGATTGTATATAGTTTTGCAAGATGTCACCATTGGAGACACTGGGTGAAAGACGTGTGAATCTAAAGTTATCTCAAAATTAAAGGTGTTTAAAACGTAGCTACCATTTACACATGAATAACTCGTTGAGAGAAAAATTGAAAAGTAGGTAGTAAAATTGTTTTTCAGAAAGTGTTAGAAGTATATTATAAATACTTTGTAGAATTTTTATACTGCTATTGCTTTTATTATAGCAGAGTTTTTGATGCCTTTCAACTCCTCTAATATAACTGCAACTTTCTGTATAAAATCTGAGTCCGTAATGTAGGACACAGGTCCTTCCCCGACCCAGCGCCACCTGCCTCTTCAGCCTCGCCTCCTTCCACTTAGGCCACCCTCCAGCCACACCAAACTCCTTGTTTTTGAACCTGCTTTGTCCCTATTCGTGCTTCCAGGTTTGCACATGCTTTTTTCTTCCCCTGAAACTTTCCCACATGCAGCTAACCTTCTCTACTCCTTTTTTTTTTCATTGAAATATAGTTGATTTACAATGTTGTATTAATTTCTGGTATACAGCAAAGTAATTCTGTTATACATACATATACATATTCTTTTTTATATTCTTTTCCATTATGGTTTATTACAGGATATTGAATATAGTTCCCTGTGCTATACAAGAGGACCTTGTATATCTATTTTATATATAGTAGTTTGTATCTGCTAATCCCAAACTCCTAATTTATTCCTCCCCCACCTCCTTCCCCCTTTGGTAACCATAAGTTTGTTTTCTATGTCTGTGAGTCTGTTTCTGCTTCGTAGATAAGTTCACTTCTGTCATAGTTTAGATTCCACATATACGTGATATCATATGGTATTTGTCTTTCTCTGTCTGACTTGCTTCCCTTCTCTAGGTTCATCCATGTTGCTGCAGATGGCACTGTTTCATTCTTTTCTCTGGCTGAGTAATATATGGATATATGGACCACATCTTCTTTATCCATCCGTCAATAGACATTTAGGTTGTTTCCATGTCCTGGCTATTGCGAATAGTGCCGCTATGAATACTGGGGTGCATATATCTTTTCAAATTATAGTTTTGTCTGGATATATGCCCAGGAGTGGGATTGCTGGATCATATAGCAACTCTAT